CCCGCGGACCTTTCGGTCAGTAAATTCGCGCTCCAGCCACTGAGCTCGTACGACACAACTGTTCTCTTTTTCAAGCATGTACTGGTGAATGGCTCACTGGAGTACGCTTCGAAAGCGGGTGCAAGCGGGCAAGGGCCCAGAGATATTTTTATAGAAATTGTAGGCATATTACGGAACATAAGACTAGGTCCTCACACTTCCTTTTTTCCGTTCTTTCCTCTTAGTCTTGTGTAATTTAAACGCCACTATTCAGTTCCTCTGCATTGCCGCCGCTGCTGACGATAATGATGATGATTTCACAACTGTGCCTTATTCCATTTTCCGTTTTCATCTTTACTCCCATCCGTGTGGACAGTTTGACAAAGGAATGTACACTACTGCTTTGGTTGCCCAAGGTATCTCTGACCTGATCACGGCCTATGGAGGAGTGGGCGATTTGACAGAAGTGAGTTACATTCTGCTATGATTTTAGTATTACTATCATATTCTGTCATCTGGAGGCTTCGCAAATTCATGTTTCATCGCCGGTAGTGCCGTTGATCCTTTTGCCGAGCTATGCGTACCGTCAGGGCACGGTCCGTTGGGTATTTATTTACTTCTTCTTGCGTTCTCGGATTTTTTGAAATGTAGCTGTTCATTGTTCATTGTTCATTTCATTGATTCGGTCGGATTTGTGTTGCTTTCTATTGTAGCCATTTTCTGTGGTTGGTTCCTAGCTCAGTAGCTCTGATTGGTCCGGTTTCTGTTGTGTGTGGCGTTCCTATTCGTTTTCTTTCCATTCCGAATTTCCTCTTCCATCTGATTGGTCCATTCACAGTTTCTGTTGCGTTGTGATCTGATTTCTGGCATTTGGCTGATCCATGAGGCATCCTTCTTTTCTACACCCCTTTTCCTTTTTCCTATCTTGAATACCTCATTTTCCGCTTGGTTGTTCACTTCAAAAGACGCAGTTCCTTCATAATGTGATTGAAACCTGTTGCGTTCTCAGTTTTCTTCTTTCTTGAGTTCCGTCGCGACACACATCCGTCACCCATTGGTCTCTGTTTGCCTTACATTGCCTTGAACTGAAATACCTGTGCGTCGCATAGTAACACTAACCTTATAAATGTCGAAACTAATGTTCAGTTCCCGTTGACTGACTGCATTCAGTGTTCATGCGCTGAAGAAGTGACAACAAGGCTATATTGATCGCACGTCAGACTCGCTTTTCATTGAAGTTTGCTGTCTGTACGAAACGAGGATCAATATCCAAGTAAAGTTGTTAAACTAACTGCCCCACTCAGTTTCTCCTCGGCTTCGTTTGTGCATCTCTACTGGTTCAGAGACCGCTGCAGCTCTGACTGTGTTAGCCTCGGCACTGACACAAGTCATCGGACAGAAGAATCCCTGCCTTACCGTATGTCTGTTACTGTTCGCCTCCGTACGGTTTGTTTGGTTACTTCTCTCGAACTATCTCCGGAAAGAGCTAGTAATCGTTGTTCGTTCTGGTCACTTCGAGCACCAAACGGGTGTATCTGCACAAAAATTCAGGCCAATACAATGCCATTTAGCTCTATCCTGTGTACTCACGCACACAATCTCAGATATTTTATGTCGGTTTAATTAATTACCGGTCATACAAAGAAGCCAGATATGAATAACCGACATCGCGGGTCTGAGTGGATCGGTTTGAAACTTGATTGCTATTCACCCGGTGAGCTGCCAATTCCACTTGTTATCAGAATGCAATGTTTCACCCATGCGTTAGAAACCTGAACTCTTCCACCTGTATGCTCACGAATCGGAATGAATAGACAGCTCACGGATCAGGATGAATAGATGACGGATAGTAGAGGCAAACCCGCCACGTAACAACCCAATATCTTCTTGAAAAGAGTTTATCCGCCTTACCTGGCTGCGTTTAACGTTGTTCACCTGGCTCAGTGAGATGTCTTCCCTCGTAAGCCCGTGCAAGATTCATACCTGTCTCTAAATGATCCTTGTTCAGAAGTTTGACTGTAGTGTGGCGGATGAAGTCGCTTCCATCTTCTCGAAGGCCACAATCCCATCGGTTAGATTGTGTCACCTACGGCGTCAGAACTATTTATTGGGTCTCAGGCGTCTATCGGATTACGGGGCGGACTATGTTGTTTTATGGTCGTTGGATCTGAGGCTCCTTTGATCACGGATGTCTTAGGCTCATCGCTGGTAAAGGCTGGCGCCTGCAAATTTGCATTAGCGTGATTACCGATTGTGCGGCACATAATTCACCCCAATGCCTCATCAACCATCACGGACTGCGGTGGTTCGTTCGTGCTGCAAAAAGTTTCGAAACGACATTAACCGATAGTTGGGTAACGGATGATCTGAAAGAGGTTGCAAAACGTTCCGATGCATTGAGGTCCATATATTCGCTCCCCTACCTAGCTGGAAACACTGCAAGATTTCGGAAACC